TTTTTATCAGATTTAAAAAAACGTGTTATTATATCACCATTAAACCCTAGGGACGGTTGAGTTCGAATTTCGTGAAAATGGGCCCAAAACTAACAGACAAAATGGCCGCCGTTCGTTCTCAAGTAGCAGAAAAAATATGGTATATCAAGGTTGTGGATCCTATAGAGGTCACAATTTTTATCCGATTTTGTTGAAACTTGAAATGTAAGTTTATAACCGAAAGATCTCGGTACCTTTCGATATTCACGCATATCGGACCGTAACTTCCTGCATTATGGCCCCTGATTGTACACAAAAACGTGTTTTTTGGCTTGTGGACCCTATAGAGGTCATAATTTTTATCCGATTAAAAAAAACGTATTATATCACCGTTAAACCCTAAGGACGGTTGAGTTCGAATTTCGTGAAAATCGACCCAAAACTGACAGACAAAATGGCCGCCGTTCGTTCTCAAATAGCGTAAAAATATGGTATATCAAGGTTGTGGACCCTATAGAGGTCACAATTTTTATCCGATTTTGTTGAAACTTGAAATGTAAGTTTATAACACAAAGATCTCGGTTCCTGTCGATATTCGTGCATATCAGACTGTAACTTCATGAATTATGGCCCCTGATTGTACGCAAAAACGCGTTTTTTTGCTTGTGAACCCTATAGAGGTAATAATTTTTATCCGATATAAAAAACCGTGTTAATATATAACCGTTAAACTCTAAGGACGGCCAGACAAAACTGACAGACAAAATGGCCGCCCTTAGTTCTCAAATAGCGTAAAAATATGGTATGTCAAGGTTGTGGACCCTATAGAGGTCACAATTTTTATCCGATTTTGTTGAAACTTGAAATGTAAGTTTATAACACAAAGATCTCGCTTCCTTTTGATATTCGCGCATATCGGACCCTAACTTCATGAATTATGACCCCTTATTGTATGACAAATCGCGTTTTTAGCTTGTGAACCCTATAGAGGTCATAATTTTTATCCGATTTAAAAAAACGTATTATTATATCACCGTTAAACGCTAAGGACGGTTGTGTTCGAATTTATCGTGAAAAACTTGAAATGTAAGTTTATAACCCACAGATCTTGGTTCCTTTCGATATACGCGCATATGGCCCCTGCTTGTACGAAAATTGCGTTTTTAGCTTGTGGACCCTATAGAGGTCATAATTTTTATCCGATTTAAAAAAAACATATTATTATATCACCGTTAAACGCTAAGGACAACTGAGTTCGAATTTCGTGAAAATCGGCCCAAAACTGACAGACAAAATGGCCGCCCCTCGTTTTTAAATTGCATAAAAATATGGTATATCAAGGTTGTGGACCCTATGTAGAGGTCACAATTTTTATCCGATTTTGTTGAAACTTGAAATGTAAGTTTATAACTCAAAGATCTTGGTTCCTTTCGATATGTGCGCATATTGAATTGTAGGAAAAGTCACTTTCGTTTTAGCTTGTTTTCTATCCATCTCTCGAAAATGTGGGCGTATCCTGCCTGGCAGCGGCTGCTTTATCAGTGCGAGGAGCAGTAGAATGCTTTTGAAAATATAAAGACTGCTTTAGCTTTACCTAATCAAACCGATCCTGGAGAGGTTTATAGCCTTCTGCCTGTTCTCCAATCCAGTTTCTGTGAATAAATATTGTTCAAAACAAAAACAACCCTTTTGTTTTGGATACAGACATGAGTAATTTCACAGTAGCCGCGGAATTAAATCAGGTTCAAGATGGGCAATAGAGAGTAATAGCCTATTCAATTTTTATACGCCCACATTTTCATGTGGACGTATGCCATCGCCCCTGTCCGTCCGTCCCTCCACAATTTGTTTATGGACACTCTACAGGTCACAATTCTTATCCGATTTTGACGAAACTTGAAATATAGGTTTATCTCCAAAAGATCTCGGCTGCTTTGATATTGGCATGTATCGGATCGAAACTTCATGGATTATGGCCCCTGTTTGTACGAAAAATCACGTTTTTAGCTTGTGGACCCTATAGAGGTCACAATTTTTATTCGATTTTGTTGAAACTTGGAATGTAGGTTTATAACCTAAAGATCTCGGTTTCTTTCGATATTCACGCATATCGGACAGTAACTTCCTGAATTATGGCCCGATTGTACGAAAAATCGCGTTTTTAGCTTGTGGACCCTATAGAGGTTATAATTTTTATTCGATTTAAAAAAACATATTTTAATATATCACCGTTACACCATAAGGACAACTGAATTCGAATTTCGTGAAAATCGGATCAAAATTGACAGACAAAATGGCCGCCGTTCGTTCTCAAATAGCGTAAAAAATATGGTATATCAAGGTTGTGGACCCTATAGAGGTCACAATTTTTATCCGATTTTGTTGAAACTTGAAATGTAGGTTTATAACCTAAAGATCTCGGTTCCTTTTGATATTCACGCATATCGGACAGTAACTTCCTGAATTATGGCCCCTGATTGTACGAAAATCGCGTTTTTAGCTTGTGGACCCTATAGAGGTTATAATTTTTATCCGATTTAAAAAAAACGTATATCACCGTTACACCATAAGGATCAAAATTGACAGACAAAATGGCCGCCGTTCGTTCTCAAATAGCGTAAAAATATGGTATATCAAGGTTGTGGACCCTATAGGTCACAATTTTTATCCGATTTTGTTGAAACTTGAAATGTATGTTTATAACCCAAAGATCTCGGTTTCTTTCGATATTCGTGCATATCGGACTGTAACTTCCTGAATTATGACCCCCGATTGTACGAAAAATCGCGTTTTTAGCTTGTAGACCCTATAGAGGTCATAATTTTTATCCGATTTAAAAAATCGTATTATATCACCGTTCCACCCTAAGCACGACTGAGTTGGAATTTCTTGAAAATGGGCCCAAAATTGACAGACAAAATGGCCGCTGTTCGTTCTCAAATAGCGTAAAAATATGGTATATCAAGGTTGTGGACCCTATAGAGGTCACAATTTTTATCTAATTTTCTTGAAACTTGAAATGTAAGTTTATAACCCAAAGATCTCGGTTCCTTTCGATGTTTGCGCATATCAAATTGTAATTTCCTCAATTATGGCCCTTGATTGTAGGAAAACCTGCCTGGCAGCCGCTGGTTTCTCTAACTCCTGAACTGCAGCGTTATTGTACAATACGTAATGAATTACTTGGGGTTGTTCAATTTACCTGTCAATTTCTCTCTTGGTTCGTCTGTTTACGGTCAGGACTGATCATAGTAGTCTCACCTGGTTACTTAACTTTAAACACCCTAATGGACAGTTAGCTAGGTGGATGGGAGAACTTGCCCAATATGATATGACTGTAAAATATCGACCAGGTTCCAAACATTTAAATGCAGATGCCCTGTCTAGCATACCTGTTTCAGGCCCTTGTCCTGATTTTTCTCTGAATGTACATCCTAGTGAATTACCCTGTGGTGGTTGTAAATACAGAAAACTTCGCATAAGTTGGATCTAAGTGGACTGGCCAATTTTATCAGAGTTCGAAGGCACATTTCAAGCTTTTGTTCTTGTGTGCGAGTAGATAACTTCCATTTTGGTGTGATTAGATAACTTCCGTTTTGTCATTATACTAGATCTTTATACGATCTGAGAAATATCTTTCCGTGTTTATACCCACAGTTCTAACCCTAACCCTTCAGAATAGTTTTATCCACAATCCACCGTCGTTACAGCTTTAAATTGTACGTTTGACATGTAAATTATAAACCTAACCCGAACCCTAACCCTAGAGAAAGATATTTCTCAAATGGTACAAAGATCTAGTATTGTGCGTCTCATACAGCAGACAGCGAGTTTCGAATTTTCTATATTGCATCGGGTCAAATAGTCAAAATGATAGGGGAAATTATATTGGGGATCTGTGCATGGAATACCTAACTGCATTTTAGAACATCGGTACGATACTGCCTTAGTCAAATTATGAACACACTGCCGATCCGTCTTGAGCAAAGAAAAAAAGCCGGAATTGGATCAAATGGACCGAACATTTTGATCCGAGTTGGGCAAAGATCTGACTTAGGAAATCCAACTTACACGTGATTAAATTTAATGAGAAAAACAAGCAGGATCAAAGGGTCCAAACGACTTTATCTGCGTTGAGCGAAGATCCGGCTTATACGAATCCGGGGGGGGGGGGGGGTTGGATGGCCGAATGGTTAGCACGCGCGCGCTTTATCATAAGGCCTGTCATTGAGTCAACTGGCGTGGTTTCGAATCCCTGTTTGTACGTGACAAGGAGTACGGTCGCCTGTTCAGCCTCGTGGGTTTTCTCTGGGTCCTCCGGTTTCCTCCCACTGCTAAAGACCCCTACGCGCAAGCGAATTATTGAAATAGAATTAAAACCATATGTTAGTCCCGAAATGACCTAGTTTGTGTCGAGTGGACGTTAAACCCCATTTCTCTCTCTCGTTCCTCTGTTAACTGGTGTACTGGGTATACGCCCAATTCATTAATGTTGGGGAGAGAGATTAATATGCCATATGGTTTAATATTTGGATCCCCAACGGATGATCAGGAATTCATGTCTGATTTATATTTTAAAAAAAATAAGGAGAACATCGTTAAATCGCATTAGATTGCTCGTAGGACCTTGCAAACAAAAAAAAAGAATGAAAAAGGATATTACTATGTTAAAGTCCGGAAAAAGTCTTATGATATTGGGGATTATGTATAATATATATCTTGGATACCGCATGTCTCTAGGAAAGAAAAAAAAATTGTCCTTATTGGAACGGCCCAGGAATGATAGATCAGATTGTGATTCTTGATCTCTTACGAGATAATGCACCATGATAGAATTAAGCTCTGTAAGGATAGGGAGGTACCTCCTTGGGTCGACCACTATAGGAATAAGATCGTGAGTGCGACCCACATGAAAAATATACTGTTTGTCGAAAACCTTGGTGTTGAGAATTTGGAATTCAGTGCGATTAATGGTTTCAGAGAGAGAGAGAAGTGGGGTTTAACATCCACTCAACACAAACTAGGTCATTTCTGGACTAACACATGGTTCAATTTTATTTCAATAATTCGCTTGCGCGTAGGGGTCTGTTAGCTGTGGGAGGACCTGGAGAAAACCCACGAGGTTGAACAGACGACTCTACTCCTTGTCGCATACAACCGGGGAATAGAAACCCTGCCAGTTGATTCAATGACAGACCGTATGATACAGCGCGCACATGCTAACCATTCAGCCATCCAACTCCCCTCAATGGTTTTATGGCAGTTGTATTGATTTAACCCCAGAGGAGGCGGAATCTATAGATGTCTATATATGTCATATATGTGATCTCTCTTAAAATTCTATATCCATATCAATATTTTTAAAATAAATGTTTTTGTAAGGGGATTTTTATCCCAGGAATTCAATTTTAATTTAACTGTTTTTATGTTGCTTTCCATCTTGAGTGCACATAAGGCCTGGGTTGGGCAGTGGCATTTTTGGGGGTTAAATGGATTTTCCCACGGAGGGTCCCTTTTTAGATGCCCACATTGAAATGTGGACGTATATTGCCGTCGTCTGTCATGTGATTTGTATGAAATTTATATGCATTATTTAAATTAGTAAAACAAAAAAGCCTGTCAAATTTAAACAAATTCTGTAGATTACTTCCAGAGTTGAGACCCTTGTTTCAGTTTGTAGAACCTTGTAAACCCTCAAACGACAAAATTTATAATCTGATCTGTATGGAATTGTCTTGTAAAGGCCCGCAATTACCTACAATTAAAAAAAGAATAAATATGCTACAACCCTTGTCGATTTAAAAAGAGGATTTGTAGGCCTACCTGTGTCAGGTAGGATCCTCTGCCTAATTAAAAAACAATAATCAATCATTGTTTTGAAGAAAAAATGGTGAATTTTGCTTCTTTGAATCCGGATGTTATTAGCATTGAGGGTTTGCCACTTGAAACTATATAGCACCATCTCTTATCTGGAAACAGGAAGGGTTGAGAGATAAGGTTTCTTATCGATAGCTCTGTCAATAAAGGTTAGTGACATCACCAGGGCTTAAGAGGGAAAATGAGTTCACTATCTTTAATCTTATTTTTCCAACTGCTAAACCAAACAAATTGGTATATTCTAGAATTCTGAATGTAGGAAATAGCACGTTTTAACAGCTAACATTCTGCCACACCTATTTTGGCTTGATTCTCATAGTTAGTGTCTGCCACACCTATTTTGGCTTGTTGACCATCTAGAGGTAACAAGTTGTATCCAAATTTAATGAAACTTTAAAGGTATGTTTATAACTTTATATCCCTCGGATCTTGATTCCTTTCGATATTAGCACACATCGGACCGTAACTTCCTGGATTATGATTCAAGATTTGTTTTTAACTGGTGAACCCTCTAACAGTCACAATTTTTATTTGAAAGCCATTTAAATATATCACTAACACCATGACCATGATTAGATTTGAATTTCGTTAAAATTGGACCAAATGTTCCTGTCAAAATGGCCGTTCCACTACAGATAGTGTAAAGCATGTAATAAGTGCACCCTCCTAAATAGTATTAAGGAGCAAAAGTTCTCAGATCAATTTGATTTTGGTGTGCATCGGACCTTCTGTGATGGAGTTATGCCCCTTACCTTTTACTCAAATGCGAAATATGTACATAAGTCTGTGTATTCTCCAGAGGCGACAATATTTGTCCATTTAGATGAAACTTGAAGCATTGGGTTCATGAGAGGTGCACACTATCGATATTCAGCGATCGGTGGAATTCCATTCAGAAGTTATCCCCCTTTTCCAAAATATGTGAAGACAATAGAGGCTACAGATTTTATCACATTTTTTTATAATTTCGATGTGAAGCATTGTTTTAATGAGAGGATGAATCCTATTGATTTTCCCTGTTCTCCATCTGTTGTGGGGGTATCTTGCATGACAACCATTTGTTTTGTATGGGGGTTATTATGAGAATCATATTGAATAATTAATATGGTTGATATAGAAAGGGAGCTACGGTGGCTAAGTGGGTAAGATGCTGGCTCGCTAGTCTGGTGGTCGGTTGTTCGATCACTGCATTGCCCGAGAAAGTTCATCCACATTTTCCGATGCGGTTCCCCCTTTATAAGTGATGCAGGACGGAGGACCTAACAAGGGCAGCTGTCTAGTCATTTAGATTTCACGAAAAACCAAGGTCCCGTGTACACATTGGCGTGCACGTAAAAGATCCCTTAACAGTTGGAATTCGATATAAGAGTAGGCCGTAGTGCTGCTGTCAGGGCAAAATTTCCCTCATAGTACACTGTATGTCGTATGCCAGTCTTCATTAGCCCAGTTCGGAGCAAAACAGTAGGACATTTAACGTCATTTCATTTCATTTGATATAGAAAATGTACCTTCTAAACAAGATGAAAAAAGTTACCAAGACCTGCTTTCAAAGACACAAAAACAACAGCATGAAATCAGGGAGCTGAAAGATCAATGTTCAACGTTGCAAAAACAAAAAGATTTTAAAGTCATGACAGACCAATTATCGAGGATACAAAAAGAAAAAGACTGTGAAATCAATGAACTTAAAGACCAGATCAAAGAGCTCAACCAAAGAGTGAAAAACATGCAGGAACTACCACTGAAAGGTAATATACCAGGGGACTATATATTAAAATGGGTCGGTATGTCTGTCTGTCCGTCCGTTTGTCCGTCCTACCAGGGGATAGTCAGAAAGACTTCTACTTCTCTAGAGACTGGGGTGTTGGATGGCCGCTGTATCATAAGGTTGCCATTGAGCCAACTGGCGTGCTTTCGATTCCCCAGTTATACATTACAAGGAGTGGGGTTGCCTTCCAACCACATGGGTTTTCTCCGGGTCCTCCCACTGTTAAAAACCCCTACGTGCAAGCGAATTAAACCCCATTTATCTCCGTCTCTCTCTAGACTTGTGGGGAGTTTATATATCTGAATCACCATAGCTGTTATGACTTTGTTTTACTTTCTTTTCTTGCAGATAAACAGCGTGGGCCATTACAGCCCGGCGACTACAAAAAGATACAGGGAAACTTTACATACCTTGTTGATAATATCAAAGACCCCATGGAATTGTGTCAAACCCTGGAGGAATATGGGATATTTGACATTCATGACAAGGACAAAGTTGAAAAATGTCTACGTGACGGCACCCGCCGTGACGCAACAGACGAGCTTCTCTGTATCTTATTGTGTAGTGGACACAAAGCTTATCAGCCATTTCTAGAATGTCTTGATAAGCTTGGTTACGATAAAGTTAGAAAACAACTGGAACCAGTCTGTGATGGTAAGTTGACTTGTTGATAACTTTGATCTATTTAAACAAAAGTAGTGCCACAGTCTGTTTTCTGGAGATCCATGACCAGGATAGTGTTACACTTGTTGAACACGATAACTTGGTTCTAATTGAGAGGGATGATACTATAGTATATCATTTCATTACATCATCACTGAGTTTGATAACCTTATGAATATTTCATTTTAGGTGGACCTAATAATCCAAACTACGAGGAGATCGACATGTTACAAGAAGAAAGAGATGTCAGCGTACAAGGTAGGACAATACTACTAATATGTGTATATACCAGTGATGGGATTTTACCTGTATATTCCGGACTTGTCCGAATCTCTTTTCGAAACACACACAAATGTCCGACCGGGAATATGCCAAATCGGACATCAAGATATGGTGAATAATATTCAAATTCCAAAATTAATAGTGTACTGAGTGTATTACTACCGTGCAACCCCATTATCGTTGATAATAGGCTGGATTGATTAGGTAATTAAGTGATCGACTATTTATCGTGTTATATCGTTTATACACCTATACCTTGATTGGCTGACTTAATTCTTTATCGGACAATTCATCAAATCAATCCTGAACAGAAGTCATTGCTTCTCCTTTGTCGGACGATATATCAATCCAATAAGAGTGATTATAAACTTGATCTGATTAATCCGTGATTTCTCCATTGTCTCACGTTTTAATCTCCTTTGTGTCGGACAATAACACGTAGAAATAAGTCATATGTCACATATCCTGATAGTATATAACACCTCAAATCAACATACATTGTATCCGATAACTTGTCTGTGATATATTTTCGGTGGAAGCTGAAGTTAAATAAAGATATTTCACACACACGCATATGGCGCTTATATAGTTCAGTAATTAAAATGAAAGTACAAATCTCGCGAGACACGTGAAATTAAGAGATGTATACGTGCCGAATGCAATACGCCTGATGTCCGCGAAAAGATTCTATTTTGATGGCATATTGTCGGATTTATGATCATATTTTGAATGGGGTTTGTTTATGTCTTTAAATAAACACGCTAAGAAATGTTGACGAATATTTCGATTGGAATGACGTAAGTAGTTGTTTTAGACAATAGCGCGTGCTACAGTCGAATGTAATTATTTAGCAGTTGGTGTCACTCGCTCGTTGTATTAGAGCGTCGTTAACTATGGTTTACAGCCAAATAAATTTCGGGATGTCATTTTTTTACCTTCCGTATATAAATCGAAATGGAGTATCAGACGAATGTCGGACTTTGCTGAAAAATGTACCGACGTATGACCCGAAAAATACGGTAATTTTTCGGCAGAAGTCGGCACGCTGCCATTCTATAGTATTACGATGTCATGTAATTTTGTAGGAATATTATTGACATAAATTTGAATACCGTACATGTTTTAAACATGAAATATAACGAGGCGAATTTGAATATATTTTGTTGACACGTGATTCTTAATTGTGTTTTGAAAACGTCTGCTTAAATTACGATAAGAGTTATGCCCCTTTATTTTTGGGAAAAAATGTCCGACAAGAAATTTTTTGAAATCCCATCACTGGTATATACATGTAGTAAGGATACCCCATCCCTCCCGCACTCCCCTTACATAGACAGAGTTTCTTATATATTCACATCGATACCCGTTAAAAATACAGAATAGGAAATGAAATGGGGTTTAACATCCTACTGTTCTGCTCCGAACTGGGCTAATAAAGACGGGCATATGCCATACAGCGTGCTATGAGGGAAATTGTGCACGGACAGCGGCACTACGGCCTACTCTTATATCGAATTCCAACTGTCAAGGGATCTTTTACGTGCACGTCAATGTGTACACAGGACCTTGGTTTTTCGTCCCATCCTAACGACTAGACAGCTGTCCTTGTCAGGCCCTCTGTACTGCATCACTGACAATTGGGAACCAGGCCGGAAAATCTTGATGAACTTTCTCGGCCAATCAATGCAGGGATCGAACACCCGACCTCCAGGCTAGCGAGCCAGCGTCTTACCCACTTACCCACCGTGATCCCCATATACAGAATATGACGTCGGCTCGCTTTGGCATACATGTAAAAGAACCTTTAGCTGTTAGAATCGAATTGCTCTGCGGACAACTCATTTATCCCATAGAACATTGTATGTCGTAAGTCCATCTTCATTAGGGTGGTTGTGACAGGAAATTATACTTTCTAGTCATGGTAATAAAGATATAGTGATTTATCTCAGTTGTAAAGAATACTGACTTATCTTGGTTGTAAACAATGTTCCCTGTTAAAGATGCATTAGGTAAGATTTAGATAAAGAGCTGACAATTCTTGCTAAAATAGTTAAAAACTTAGATAATGAAAAAGAATATATTCAAAATTTCAGTCAAAAGACTTCATTCTGAGCTGGCTGTTTGGAGAAAAGCTGAGTTTTGATTATCATTGCTACCGTTGTAACGATAGTAAACACTCTTGATTATCTATTTTTCAATTAAATCCATTGAAAATCACTAACATCCAATGGCATAGAGAGTTGATTATTGTCTTGGCTAGTTAAGAATTGTTTAATTAATAATTTATAGAACATTTAAGGACTAAAGAAAGTTCTGCAATATGCAGATTTAGCTCTTACATAATGCATCTTTAACAAACCTCAAACGTCATAAATAACAGCAAGCATTGTTAGATCCGTTTACTTTATAACTCTTACAGAAAAACAGTGTGGACGTATGCCAGAATCTCAATACAATAAGGTCCAGAATCAATTTACTAATTTGATTGATAATATCAGAGACCCTTTAAGATTGTGTCAGACCTTGTTTGAATGTGGTGTGTTTGACATGGACGATAAAGAAATGGTACAGAAGAGTTTTCGAGAAGGAATTACCCGCGATGCTACAATGAAGCTTCTTGAGATCTTATTGAACCGAGGTCAGAATTCGTATGTACGGTTTATAGAATGTCTTGAGAAAATTGGCTATGATGCACTTAAACAAAAGATGGAAGAGAGTTGTGATGGTGAGTAATTATTTATATACGGAAGACCAACGATCAAATACAAAACAAAGATAGAAGACATTAATAGGATGTATGAGACATAGGGCTGGATTCGGGGGCTGGATTCGGGGCAAATTTACTTGATTTAATATTACATTTATTGTTCATGGTGTCTTGTCCGCAGGTCTGTTTTCAGGGTTTATATACTATTCAAAAAAAGTAGGGGATATTTGATTTTGGGGGCATAATACTAAAATATGCAAATGACTACGAAAAAAGTCACTATAGAACCTAACAGAAGAAACATTTCCAGTTACATGTGACGCCCAAACGCACCAATAGCTACCGCATGGAATGCAGGTGATGCTTGGGATCATCATGGGGTCCAACCCAAGATTTGCACGACTCTGACTTTGAATGTTACAGTCATTGTGGCATTGAATTCCAGGGTGGAAACATCAGTTTAATTGTTTTAGTGACCAGAAAACATATTTTGATATGCGTCGGCTTACCCAAAATGAAAGGTTACGTGCCCTTGGCATGCTACAGATCGGCACAACACAGGCGGTTGTGGCGCGGACGATGAATGTTTCTCAGTCTGTCATAAGCAGGCTATGGTCCAGATACCGTGATACACAATCTGTACAGGACAGACCACGCTCAGGTCGACCAAGGGCGACAACTCAAGCCCAGGATCGATTTATCCGTACCTTGGCCTTGTGAAATCGTGTCATCACAGCAAATCAGATCAGCGCTCGTCTTCAGACACTGGTGTGAGAGTGAGTGGCCAGACGATTCGGAATCGACTGCATAGGGGTCACCTTCGCGCCCGACGTCCTCGCGTGATCCCTTGTTTGAGAGATCATCACATTCAGGCAAGACATCGTTGGTGTAGGGATCGTCAACACTGGGATAATCGACGCTGGAGCAATGTGATGTTTTCAGATGAGTCAAGGTTCACTGTTGATTTTTTGGACAGACGTAAGAGGGTGTGGCGTCGTCGAAACGAGCGCTTCCAAGACGTTAACGTCATCAGACATGATCGATTTGGGGGTGGTTCTGTTATGGTGTGGGGAGGCATCACTGTTGCTGGAAGAACGGCTTTACATGTTGTTGCAGGGCGTGTTACAGGCCAGTACTACCGGGACAACATCTTGGCAGTCCATGTTGTGCCGTTCGCACGACGTCATGGCCGCCGTTTCATCTTCCAGGATGACAACGCAAGATGTCACAGGGCCAGAATCGTTACAGGTTACCTCCAACAACAGAACATCACCACATTACCTTGGCCAGCACTGAGTCCCGACCTCTTCCCCATCGAGCATGTCTGGGACATGCTTGGACAGAGGTTACGTCAACGTCAACAACGTCCTGCCAATGTCCAAGAACTTGCTGCTGCGTTGCAACAGGAATGGGACAATCTGGACCAAAATGACCTTAGACGTCTCATTAGGAGTATGCCACGTCGGATCAATGCTTGTTTGGCAAACAGAGGAGGATTTACCCGTTACTGACTTGGTTGTGATGCTGTGGTAACTTTGCTGTTTGACCCCGGGTATCATTTTACCCTTATAATGGTCAGTCTGTGCCTTACTTAGTCTAACGATCATTTGGAATAAATCGATGAATGTGAACTTCATTTCATTTTGTCATTTGTTTCTTCGTCAGTTTCATTAGGTGACTTTAATAACACTTAAAAATCAAATATCCCCTACTTTTTTTGAATAGTATATTTGATTGTGTGTTGTGCAATTTTCCTGCACTTTTTGTTAAAAGTATTCATGTTATAATATAGTATTGTTAGAATATTCAATGAAAACGCAAGATTCACCCTTAAAGCGGAAATTGCAAATTTTTAAGTTATATTTTTAAAATTTATTTAAAAAAAAAGCCTGAAAATAGATGGTATCCATAAACAGTCCTACCTTGTTAAAGAAAAATCCTATGAATCCTATAATTCACTATTGCCAGCTGAGAAATTGGCAAAAATATCATTGTCCTCTTCATTTTCAAACGTTTGAAAAAAGGCTACTCCATGGTGGAGAATAGAAAACAAGGGAGGTAATTGTGTTATTTCCTGTGTAAATGAGTTTTAAGTGTGAGAATGACACCTATGATCGTATAATTGTGAGTTGACAACCTATTGAGCAAAAGACATAGAAATAATTACGTTTTGACTTAATTAGAAAATTTGCAATTTCCACTTTAAGCATGTTACAATATGATATATAATATGATATATAAATAATATGTTAATCTTTAATCTAGTCAGTTAAAAATCAAACAAATCACTGGAATATTGTGATTATCCAAGTCTTTCATGGATTGTTCTATTATTGAATATCTTTTATCTAACTTTATCATGTATTGTGTTTAAACTTTGGGCTTTGTCTATTTCAGGCCAACACCTTGAGGAAATCAGATCGTTGAAAGAAGAGAGATCTAGATGCACAGAAACAACAAGAGAAAAGGATCTGGTTAGGAAGCAGAAGCTACTAGTCAACAAAAACAAATCTATCGCCACGGAGATGTCTGAACTAAAAGACAAAATGGATAAAATGGAAATGGAAAGACAGAGCGAAGATGCTGAGAAGATGAAAGTAATCAATGAATATCGATCTAGAGAAAAGCAGCTTCTAGCAAACCAACAACAGATCCGGAAAGAAATAAAGAAACTTGAAAAGCAAATACAAGATTTAAAGGAAAGAACCAGTCTTGCAGATGACAGATTAACCAGAGTAGAGAGGGATGTAGAAAGTCTTCTCGCTTTATTTGAAAAATGCAATGGTAAGCAGATTGTTTGTTTTATCAAATTACAGTTAATTTCTGCTCCAGTTACATCATGGTATATTATGTCATTCTTTAGATAAAGGAGACCTTTAAACAATGTTATCCTTTGTCTTCATTATCCATATATAAGGGAGCCATGGTGGCTAAGTGGGTAAGGCACTGGCTAAAGCTGGGCAATATTTCGGTATTTCGATATAAAACTGTCACAGAAATAAAAACCGTCAAAAATACCGTCTACAGAAAAATATCAAAACTGAACATACCGTGATATATCACGGTTTTGATTTTCCTAGATGATATTTAAAGGTCACCGGAAAAGCATTTTTTTTTTAAATAATGCAAGTAATTATGTCAACATATCCTTTCCATAAGTATAACCCGAGCCCGAACGTCGATATTACCTGCAACAGGTAAATTTCAACATTAGTAATTTCCGCCGTTCTCCGTCGGTAGTCGAAACTTTCCGTCAATAAGCAATCCGTGACGTCATTTTAGTCCTTCTGCACATAGAAATATAGACTAGAATATGAGCAGAAGGACTAAAATGACGTCACATTTACGGAAAGTTACGACTACCCACGGAGAATGGCGGAAATTGCTAACGTTGAAATTTACCTGTTGCAGGTAATATTGACATTCGGGTTCGTGTTATACTTATGGAAAGGATATGTTGACATAATTACCTGCTTTATTTAAAAAATTTATGAACCTTTACCGGTGACCTTTAAGATAAATATTGAAAAAATGTCTTCCTTTTTATATTTACAATATTTTATTGGTTAATTATGAATAAATAGCAATAAATATGGAAAGTTAGCAAATGCCGACAAAGATAGGGTGACCCACCATAAATAAATATCTCTATATATCTCGACAATTACGCCACAATATTTATATATATGCCAAGCCTCAAATCAGTTTGACACAATTATAGTCACTAATTAAACGATCATGTTGTACTTAATAAGCTATGACCATTAATCATGTATAAATAATAGACTGAAAACTAGTTCCAAGAGTCGTCCCTAACATCCAGACACTTTTGAGTAAAAGATAGGTTACGTGCCCTTGTTTTGAAATTAGTCTCGCTTAACCAGTCTATCGACCATTCTACGTCTGATTGACAGGTCGGGATAATCTAGACTACTTTTTTACGAAACATAACAGAAATCTAGAACAAGAAATTGAATTTAAAAATAAGCACTTTAGACAACTCAACAATCGTTTTAAGAAGCTTGTAAAAGTAAAATGAAACTATTGCTAGTATCATGTTCCTGTCTAACCCGAGTGATTCAGAGATATTATTTGTACTAAACCAAAAGATGCCGCTCTTAACGGTACAGTTAATGATAAAGCGATTTAAAAAAATGAAACGAACGTAATTTCTAAATCTGCTGTAATAACCAAGAAGCTTAATTTTACTGCTATTCAAAATCGTCAACAATAATTTTTTTCTGGCTGTAATAGTTGATAGATTTGTAGAGAATTGCACGTGCCATGGCTATTTATAGTATCATACTGTCAGAAAGTTGGTCTCGGCACGGCGAATGTGCACGCTTCAGTGGTAGTCTCGAACTATCAGCGGTGGACTGTATTTCTGTGAGTACATGGGTCACCCTAACAAAGAGCTTTTTTTACGTCACGTGATTTCTCGCTCACTCTTCCACTCGACCAATACCGTTAGAATTATCCATGTTTCTGTTCAGTTTCTTGACGAATTGTTTATACAGATATGCTTTGATTTTCCAAAGGAATCATTGATTTTCAGATTGGATTAAATTTTAATAAAGCAGAAATATAAATAATGCCAACTATATTTAGAGTTCCGTTGGACTGATTGTCATTCAGCGTCGGACGTGTCATGGCGATCCGTGATCCGGAAAAAAATATTTGACCAAATCAATGCATGGGTTTTTACATTTAGAAAGTGATAAACTGAAATTATTGACATATTTTCAAAATATATCGCGATATGTTTTCAGGGATATCGCCCAGCTCTAGCGCTGGCTCGCTAGCCTGCAGGTCGCGTGTTCGATCCCTGCATTGGCCAAGAAAGTTAATCGAGATTTTCCGGCGTTGTTTCCCCTTGTCAGTAGTGCAGGACGGAGGGCCTCACAAGGACAGCTGTCTAGTTGTTTGGAGGGGATGAAAAACCGATCCCTTGGCAGTTGAAATTCGATATAAGAGTAGACCATAGTGCCCCTTGTCCATGCAAAATTCCCCTCATAGCACACTGTATGGCGTGTGCCCGTCTTCATTAGCCCAGTTGGAGCAGAACATGGGTTCATCCGTCTGTCTGCACATCTGTCGATCTGTCCGTCCGTCTGTCACACTTTTTGGGACACATTAACTCTCCTTTTATTTGAGCTAGAAGGTTCACACTTGGTGTAGGTGTTTATTAGGTGAATGCCTTGATGGAGTTGGAAGATGAGCATTTTCTGCTTAGGGTAAGCAGAGATAAGCGATTTGATTAGTTGATGCTTTGGGACACAATAAATTTAGTTCTAATTAAGTGAGAGTGAGGACACTTGGTGTATAGTTTTATCACATCAATACCTTGACTAAGTTCAATAATGAGCACTTTCTGCTCAGGGTAAGCAAAGCGATAAGCAATTTGATTTGTCGAGACTTTGGAACACAATAACTCTTCTTCTAATTGAGGTAGAATGTTCACTTGGTGTAGGCATTCATTAGGTGAATGCCTTGATCTAGTTTGATGATAAACATTGTCTGCTTACGGTAAGCAGAGATACGCAATCTGGTTGATGCTTTGGGGCACGATTACGGATATAACTAAGTGAGAGTGATGAAACTCTGGGTATAGTTACATCGTTACCTTGACTAAGTGCGATGATGAGAATTTTCTGCTTAGGCTAAGGAGCAATAAGCAATTTAATTTGTCAAGACTTTGGAACATAACAACTCTGATTTTAATTAAGGTAGACTGTTTAAACTTGATGTAGATGTTCATTAGGTGAATATCTTGACTGAGTTCAATGATTAAAATTTCGAGCTAAAAAGCAGAGCTAAGCAATTTCATTGGTCGATGCTTTAGGACCAGATAACTTTGATTCTATCTGATAGAGAGTGATGAAACTTAGTGTATAGTTGATAATCTGTTTGATTGCTTGATACTTTTAAAAAAAATTAATTTGCGACAAATTAATAAGTGTCAGCTATTTATTTTGGGATTTTGGCCAGGGACATCAGCCTCTTTGTTGGCTTGTTTTTATACACCTGTGTCGTCACTGTGCCCGTTGGTCCGTAGGTCAATGCAATAGAGGCTAGAGTTTTTAATGGGTCTTTCCAATATTTGGCTTGAAGCATTGGGGCCATCAATCCCTATCGATTTTCATACCCTCCTTTTTCCAAAAACCTTTGTTAACACAATAAGGACAATAGGTGTAATAGATTTTTTTTTTTTTGAAAACAATTGGGTCATAAGAGGATGAACCCTAGAGATAAGATTTTTTCAAAATTGCTCAACATCCAAGTTTTCCTCTAGGATAAGCTGCAGTTGAGACAAAGCTGCTGTGTCGGCATATTCTGCACTATCTTTCATTTTCTATTTTGAATTATTGAGTCATAAACTGACAATTCTTTAACTCTTACATAGTGCATCTTTAAGATTATTTGAAATTTGTACACAAACCAGAGGACATGATGGAATCTATAAAATTTTTATTTATAACAGGTGTTGGTATATTTACAGATCTACAACAGACAACTACCACCAGTTTTACAGATCCACAACAGACAACTACCACCAGTTTTACAGATCTACGAGTGACATCTACCATCAATTCAAGTGACATAACTGATGATGGTGTCTCATCTGGTACTGGAAGTAAATCAGGATCCATATATTCAACATTACACTCTGCATGTCAATACGGTAATATAAATGATGTAAAATATCTAATTGATACTGGGCATGATGTGAATCAGCTGGATAATAACCAGTCACCTATATTGCATTGCAGTCAATCTGAAATAGAACCTGTAGCTAAACTAAAACTGATTCTTACTAAGGGGGGTAATATAGATGATAGAGATAGTTATAATAGAAATGTTTTACATCTGGCATGTTTATATGGTAAACTAGAAGCAGTAGAATTTATATTAGGCCTACAACAAGGTATTGATATACACAGTAGAGGACATTATAACAAGTCACCTATAATGTATTGCAGTCAATCTAAAATAGAACCTGTAGCTAAACTAAAACTGATTCTTACTAAGGGGGGTAATATAGATGATAGAGATAGTTATAATAGAAATGTTTTACATATTGCATGTGTACTTGGTAAACTAGAAGCAGTAGAATTTATATTAGGCCTACAACAAGGTATTGATATACACAGTAGAGGACAGTATAACAGGTCACCTATATTGTATTGCAGTCAATCTAAAATAGAACCTGTAGCTAAACTAAAACTGATTCTTACTAAGGGCGGTAATATAGATGATAGAGATAGTTATAATAGAAATGTTTTACATCTGGCATGTTTATGTGGTAAACTAGAAGCATTAGAATTTATATTAGGCCTACAACAAGGTATTGATATACACAGTAGAGGACAGTATAACGAGTCGCCTATATTGTATTGCAGTCAATCTAAAATAGAACCTGTAGGTAAACTAAAACTGATTCTTACTAAGGGGGGTAATATAGATGATAGAGATAGTTATAATAGAAATGTTTTACATATTGCATGTGTATTTGGTAAACTAGAAGCAGTAGAATTTATATTAGGCCTACAACAAGGTATTGATATACACAGTAGAGGACAGTATAACAAGTCGCCTATATTGTATTGCAGTCAATCTGAAATAGAACCTGTAGGTAAACTAAAACTGATTCTTACTAAGGGGGGTAATATAGATGATAGAGATAGGGATAATGGTACTGTTTTACATCTGGCATGTGTATTTGGTAAACTAGAAGCAGTAGAATTTATATTAGGCCTACAACAAGGTATTGATATACACAGTAGAGGATATTATAACAGGTCACCTATATTGTATTGCAGTCAATCTGAAATAGAACCTGTAGCTAAACTAAAACTGATTCTTACTAAGGGGGGTAATATAGATGATAGAGATAGGGATAATGATAATGTTTTACATCTGGCATGTTTAATTGGTAAACTAGAAGCAGTAGAATTTATATTAGGCCTACAACAAGGTATCGATATACACAGTAGAGGAAAGGATAACACATCGCCTATATTGTATTGCAGTCAATCTAATATAGAACCTGTAGCTAAACTAAAACTGATTCTTACTAAGGGGGGTAATATAGATGATAGAGATAGTTATAATAGTAATGTTTTACATCTGGCATGTGTATTTGGTAAACTAGAAGCAGTAGAATTTATATTAGGCCTACAACAAGGTATCGATATACACAGTAGAGGAAAGGATAACACATCGCCTATATTGTATTGCAGTCAATCTGAAATAGAACCTGTAGCTAAACTAAAACTGATTCTTACTAAGGGGGGTAATATAGATGATAGAGATAGTCGTAATAGAAATGTTTTACATCTGGCATGTGGATTTGGTAAACTAGAAGCAGTAGAATTTATATTAGGCCTACAACAAGGTATTGATATACACAGTAGAGGATATTATAACAGGTCACCTATATTGTATTGCAGTCAATCTGAAATAGAACCTGTAGCTAAACTAAAACTGATTCTTACTAAGGGGGGTAATATAGATGATAGAGATAGGGATAATGATAATGTTTTACATCTGGCATGTTTAATTGGTAAACTAGAAGCAGTAGAATTTATATTAGGCCTACAACAAGGTATTGATATACACAGTAGAGGATATTATAACAAGTCACCTATATTGTATTGCAGTCAATCTAAAATAGAACCTGTAGGTAAACTAAAACTGATTCTTACTAAGGGGGGTAATATAGATGATAGAGATAGTCGTAATAGAAATGTTTTACATCTGGCATGTGTATTTGGTAAACTGGAAGCAGTAGAATTTATATTACAAGGTATTGATATACACAGTAGAGGACAGTATAACACGTCGCCTATATTGTATTGCAGTCAATCTGAAATAGAACCTGTAGCTAAACTAAAACTGATTCTTACTAAGGGGGGTAATATAGATGATAGAGATAGTTATAATAGAAATGTTTTACATCTGGCCTGTGTATTTGGTAAACTAGAAGCATTAGAATTTATATTAGGCCTACAACAAGGTATTGATATACACAGTAGAGGATATAATAACAGGTCACCTATATCGTATTGCAGTCAATCTGAAATAGAACCTGTAGCTAAACTAAAACTGATTCTTACTAAGGGGGGTAATATAGATGATAGAGATAGTTATAATAGAAATGTTTTACATCTGGCATGTGTATTTGGTAAACTGGAAGCAGTAGAATTTATATTAGGCCTACAACAAGGTATTGATATACACAGTAGAGGACATTATAACAAGTCGCCTATATTGTATTGCAGTCAATCTGAAATAGAACCTGTAGCTAAACTAAAACTGATTCTTACTAAGGGGGGTAATATAGATGATAGAGATAGTTATAATAGAAATGTTTTACATATTGCATGTGTATTTGGTAAACTAGAAGCAGTAGAATTTATATTAGGCCTACAACAAGGTATTGATATACACAGTAGAGGACAGTCTAACAAGTCGCCTATATTGTATTGCAGTCAATCTAAAATAGAACCTGTAGCTAAACTAAAACTGATTCTTACTAAGGGGGGTAATATAGATGATAGAGATAGGGATAATGATAATGTTTTACATCTGGCATGTTTATATGGTAAACTTGAGACTGTTGAATATCTTGTAGGAATAGGTATTGATATCAACAGTAAAAATAAAAATAAAAAAACACCTTTAAATTATTGTAAGCTTTCATCTGTTCAATCAGAAGAAAAGGTTAAATTATTACAAGCAAAAAGAAAAAAAAAATGGTATCAGTTGTAATACTATCACTATCATCTCAATAATGTAATGGTATCAGTTGTAATACTATCACTATCATCTTAATATTGTAATGGTATCAGTTGTAATACTTTCACTATCATCTCAATGTAATGGTATCCATTGTAATACTATCACTATCATCTTAATATTGTAATGGTATCAGTTGTAATACTTTCACTATCATCTCAATGTAATGGTATCCATTGTAATACTATCACTATCATCTTAATAATGAAGTGGAATCAGTCTTAATACTATCACTACAATCTCAATAATGAACTGGTATCATTTGTAATACAGGGGATCACGTGGCTAAGTGGGTAAGACACTGGCTCGCTAGCCTGGAGGTCGGGTGTTCAATCCCTGCCGAGAAAGTTCATCCAGATTTTCCGGCATGGTTTCCTCTTGTCATATTGGCTTGCACGTAAAAGATCCCTTGGCAGTTGGAATTCAATATAAGAGTAGGCCGTAGCGCCGCTGCCAGGGCAAAATTTCCCTCATAGCACACTGTATGGCGCATGCCCGTCTTCATTAGCCCAGTTTAGGAGCAGAACAGTAGGACGTTAAACCCCATTTCATTTCATTTGTAATACTATCATCTCAATAATGTAATGGTATCAGTCTTAATACTATCACTATCATCTCAATGTTACCTTCCAGAATAATAAAGCTGTATCAAATGTTCTCCAATGATAAAGCAGCATTTTCCAATATTCCAACTTGGATCTATGTAGCATATTTTACAACATGTTTACTGAACTCCTAAAACAAATTTATATGAATATTTTAATTGTTTTAATGATACCTGTATGTTCTAGTCTACTAGACATATTGTACTACAGCTTTAATGTTACTTGTATATTCTAGTCTACTAGACATGATAAATATACAGTGTCTATTGTAGCCTAATACAGCTTTAATGTTACCTGTATATTCTAGTCTACTTACAGTTATAATTTATATAATCAAGTGAAATAATGTTAACTGTCTAATCAAGTCTACTAAAATTATAATTTATATAGTCAGTAAAATAATGTTACCTGTCTAATCTAGTCTACTAACAGTAGCCAGTAAAATAATGTGTTAGTCCCGTAATGTGTGAACTTAATTATATGGCTAAATAATCCAATCTTATATTATTATTCTAGTCTACGTAACTTTTTTATTTTATATCAACATTGTGTTAATAATTCGTACAAATGTGTGCTGTTAATTATATCACTGGATAATCTAGTCTAATGACATTATTGTTCTAATCTACTTGACTGATATATTTTGTGAAGCTGTGGTGACTCAGTAAGTAGGATGTCGCTCGCTAACCCGGAGATCCTGTGTTTTTTTTATTAATGTGTTGTGATTGTTGTAATTTTATATTAGTTGTACTTATCTAAAGCGCCCGAGAGCAGCTCACTGAGTTGAATTGTTGGCGCTATATAAATTAATTATTATTATTATTCGTTCCCGGTGTTGGGTTCATTGGGATTTTCGCTGGGATTCTCCCTTGTCAGTGGTGCAGGAGTGGCACAAGACATCCTATATTCATTCAGATGGTCCTGTCTACACATTGACGTGCATGTGAAAGATACCTTGAAACTTGGAATTCGATATATTAAGTAGCGCCGCTGCCCAGGCAAAATTTCCTTTATTGCATACTGTACGGCGTATTCCCGTCTTTATTTGACCGGTCGGAGCAGTAATCTGGATAATCTCCATCTTATTAAAATACAGATCTATAAGTATGGGAGGTTGTGTCAGGGGACATACGAGCGGTTTTTGACCCTACGACGTCAGACATTGATTAATCAATCAGCGTTGACATTTCTAGGGGTTTGCACACAGTTCTGTGCAGATGCCAAGATCTTGCTGTAACAGAACATTTTATTGGCTAATTCCTCACGTCAACTTGAACGCCTGTAATATAACAACTCTTCACGATCCTAGTGCACGTAAAAGATCCCTTGGCAGTTGGAATTCGATATAAGAGTAGGCCATAGAGCCGATGCCCAGGCAAAATTTCCCTCATAGAGAAAGAAATGGGGTTTAACGTCCACTCGACACAAACTAGGTCATTTCGGGACTAACATATATGGTTTAATTTTATTTCAATAATTCGCTTGCGCACAGGGGTCTTTAGCAGTGGGAGGAAACCGGAGGACCCTGAGAACCCACGAGGTTGGACAGACGACCCTACTGGCTACTCCTTGTCACGTACAACCGGGGATTCGAAACCACGCCATTCGACTCAATGACAGACTTTATGATACAGCGCGCGCACGCTAACCATTCAGCCATCCAACCCAAACCCCCCCTCCCTCATAGCAAACTGTATGGCGTATGCCCATCCTCATTAGCCCAGTATAGGAGCATGACAGTAGGACGTTAAACCCTGTTTCGTTTTGTATAAACAATATGTTAACATTTAACTTGGTAATCTGGTCTTATGGCATTATTGTCCTAGTCTATATATTATGTATAAACATTATGTTAACATTTCACTTGGTAATCTGGTTTTAAGATGTTATTGTTCTAGTCTATATATTTTGTATAAACAATATCTTATATCACTTTCCATAAAAATAAATTTGTTATCAAGAATTATCAGACATGTTTGTTTTGGTTAAATACAAACCAGTGGTATCGGGTGTTCAAGAATTATCAATAATTGTCAGCCATCTTTGTTTTGGTTAAAAACAACCAAATGGGAAGTGGTATCAAGTGTTCAAGAATGTGTAAGCAGACCCTGCCTTGTACACAACACATGTCCCTATAGCTAACTAGTGATGTATTTAGTTCAAAGCTAAGATAAACTTTGGATGTGGCTCAGTAAGATTTGACTTGATAACCCTGGTGTAGGTCGTAAAAAAAGTTCAGCAGTATTTTCCAACCTGGTTCTCCCTTGTAAGTGGTGCAGAACAGAGAGTCTGACATGGAACAATATTTAGTCATTCGGGTGGCAAGAAAAACCAAGGTCCTGTGTACACATTGGGTGTGACTTGGATGGGACAAAAAACCATATTATATTTAATAATAGCAGAAGAATAAAAGTTTAAAAACTCATCTGAGTTGCCAGGAAACACAATACAGAAAATAATATATAGTGGTATCTCAGAATAAGACACATTTTGACACAAAACATCTTATACATAGGCGTACGGTGGGGGGGGGGGGGCTGCCCCCTAACTTTCGGGCAAGCTGACTTTTCAGGCAGACAGGTAAAGTAACAAAGAAAAATTTATTTCATCTACTTGGCAAAATAAAGTGCCCGAAATCTAATAAAACACTAATTTTACGGGCTGGAATAGCAGTAAAACAGGTTCGCGGCCGTCAAATATTCCAAAATTTTCTTGGGGGGTGGGGCATACAAGGTCAGCTCCGCTTCTTCACCTCTCGAAGAAAACTGGCGCCACTGTCTGTAAACCTGAAATTTTTTCGGGCATTTCTAGTTTTGCTTCCCTAACTGTCATCAAGCCCTAATAAAACACTAATTTTACTTTTCTTTTAATTGAATACCACGAATTTGTACTGAGTTGACTATGGATTAAAACATTTTGTCTGGAGTCCCTCTATTTTGTGCGACTTTTTTCCGGCATCGAATACTATTTGTGAATGCAGCTGCAACAGTCTGATTGGATGGTTGGAATTCAGAATGGTATTTTGGTTACAAAACCATTGGATACTTTTGGAGTTGCTTACACGGGCTAGAATAGCCGAAAACGGATTTGCGGTGGTTACATTTTCAAAATTTTCTCCGGGAGGGTGAGGCCCCCGTACCCCGCAACGCTTGATTGGTTGTTTGGAGTTCTGGTCAGCCAGATAGTCTACATTGGACCAAATTGAAGTTGCTGTATTCACAGGCTGAAATAGCAGGAAAATGCGTTTGCAGCAGTTAAATTTGCCCAACAGTCCTGTCTCCGTGGAATGTAAACGATCGATTAGAATTCGAGTCCGTCACGGGCTGAAATAGCAGGAAAACGTGTTTGAATTGCAAAATTTTCTTTGGGGGGGTTCATACAAGGTAAGCTCTGCTTCTTCGCCATTTCGAGGAAGACCGGTGCTGACGTCTGTAAACCCGAAATTTTTTCAGGCATCGAGCCCGTATACCTATGATCTTATATTTGTATAATTCAACACTGTGACTCCGACAGTCATGTGTCATATTAGCCAGGAATGATGCAAACAGCTTTGTGAAAAAGTTAAGTTGCCAATCAACTTTTAGCAACAATTTGAGAGAGATCGAGAGAGAAATGGGGGTTTAACCTCCACTTGACACAAACTGTCATTTCGTGACTAACACATGGTTCAATTTTGTCAATAATTTGCTTTATCAGGGGTCTTTAGCAGTGGTAGCAAACTGGAGGACCCTGAGAAAACCCACAAGGCTCGACAGACGACCCCTACTCCTTGTCACGTACAATCGGAGAATTTAAACCACGCCAGTTGACTCAATGACAGACCTTATGATACAGCGCCCACCTGCTAACCATTCGGCCATCCAAACCCCCAGAAACAATTTGATGTGAGTCTAGGATGCCTCTATTTTTAGGGGTTAGTATGGAAGCCTATAACCATTCGGCCATCCAAACCCCCAGCAACAATTTGATGTGAGTCTAGGATGCCTCTATTTTTAGGGGTTAGTATGGAAGCCTATAACTACCATTCATAATTTCTACTTTTCGCCTCTTCAAAACACGAAAGTCGAAAAGTAGAAGTTGTGACAAAATGTGGGGCGACAACACGCTATACAAGCCAAAATCAACTCGAAAATAGGAAATTAAGAAATAACACACAGCGATAATAGCGCCCCTCGTTAATTCCTAATTTCCTATTTTCGACTTGCATTTTGGCTTGTATACCGTCTTGTCGACTTTCGACTTAGTCATATTTTTGTATTTATTGATGTCAGTAAGAAGGCGCCAACACGGTATGCAAGCCAAAATGCAACTCGAAAAGTAGAAATTAGGAAATTAACACACCACGCTATTAGCGACTTTTCACCTCGGAAGTTGTTGTAGTCTCAGTTTTCCAAGTCGCATTTGAATACGTGCAATCAGGGCTCACACTGTATTTCCATCTTTTCCATCAAAATGGATAATAATTTTTATATAAAAAAAATGTTCCGCCAACTGGGATATTTTATCTGCCAAAAATGTCTGATAAAAAAAAAAACACACCTTAGGCTACAACAATTTAATTTCTTATATAGGCCTATTATAAAACAAATTTCCCGTACCGATATATACAATATACAACAACATACATGGGGATTGGGTGGTCTAGTGGTTTAACATGTGCGCGTGAAATCACAAGGTCTGACATAGATTCGAGTGGTGTGGTTTCGATTCCCCGCTTAAACATGACAAGGGAGTAGGATCGCTTGTCCAACCTTGTGGGTTTTCTCCGGATACCCCAGTATCTATCCAGTGCTAAAGAAACCTAAGCCAGCCTGGAGGTCGGGTGTTCGATCCCTGCATTGGTCGAGAAAGTTCATCCAGATTTTCCGGCGGATTCTCCCTTGTCAATGTCTGTCGCATACCAAGCCAAAATGCAACTTGGAAAGTAGAAATTAGCGACCTATCATTTTGGCTTGCTGTCGTACTGGCGACTTTTCGAGTTTTGCCTCGGAAGTGGTTGTAGTCACAGTTTGCCAGGTCGCATTTAAATACATGCAATTTGCGTTAACAAAATAGTCTGTATGATAAAGTCGAGTATTGAAGGCGATATTAGCGACCTATGATTATGGCTTGCTGTCGTGCTGTCGACTTTTCGGCTCGGAAGTTGATATATTCTCTACTTTCAAGGTCACATTAGAATACACGCATTGATAATTGAATTTCATTTAGGCCAACTGTGGTTTCATACCGCATATAAAATATACAGGTTTTCCCAATTGTATATTATTATTTTATTTCAAATTATATTATCACCATGGGAAGGAAATGTAAGAACGAGTCGAATAGTGACGTTTCAGTACCGCCGCCAAAATTTTCTAATGATTGTAAGCATGTCTTACAAATAAAATTGAAATTTCTATGAGGATTCAGATTCTGGGTCATTACGGTACCTGCAATTAAGAATAGGCCTATTGTACATGCAAAACATTAAAAAGGGAAATCCTTGGATGAGACTGGCGTGTAGAGGCTTAATATATATTGTTCTGTAGGGGGGGGGGGGGGTAACGTCCACTCGACACAAACATAGAGTTATTCAGTGACTAACATGGTGCAATTTTATTTTAAAAATTGGCGATGGGAGAGAGAAATTAAATGAAATTGGGGTTTAATTGGCATACGCCATACGGGAAATTTTGCCTGGACAGCGGCAATACGGCCTACTCTTATATCGAATCTCAACTGTCAAGGGATATTTTACGTGCACACCAATGTGTACACGGAACCTCAGTTATTTTGGTCCCATCCGAACAACTAGACAGTTGTCCTTGTCTGCCCCCCCACCCCCACACCATCCTGCATCACTGACAAGGGGGAATCCGCTGGAAAATCTGGATGAACTTTCTCGGCCAATGCAGGGATCGAACACCCGACCTCCAGGCTGGCTTAACATCCACTCGTTGCAAACTAAATCATTTCAATAATTTGTTTGCACGTAGGGGTCTTTAGCAGTGGATAGAAGCTGGGGTATCCGGAGAAAACCCACAAGGTTGGACAAGCGACTTTACTCCCTTGTCATGTTTAAGCGGGGAATCGAAACCACACCACTTGAATCAAAATCAGACCTTGTGATTCCACGCGCACGTGTTAAACCACTAGACCACCCAATCCCCATGTATGTTGTTGTATATTGTATATATCGGTACTGGAAATTTGTTTTATAATAGGCCTATATAATAAATTAAATTGTTATAGCCTAAGGTGTTTTTTTTTATTTTTATCAGACATTTTTGGCAGATAAAATATCCCAGTTGGCGGAACATTTTTTTTATATAAAAATTATTATCCATTTTGATGGAAAAGATGGAAATACAGTGTGAGCCCTGATTGCACGTATTCAAATGTGACCTGGAAAACTGAGACTACAACAACTTCCGAGGCGAAAAGTCGCTAATAGCGTGGTGTATTAATTTCCTAATTTCTACTTTTCGAGTTGCATTTTGGCTTGGTATGCGTGTTGGCACTTCTTACTGACACCAATAAATACAAAAATATGACTAAGTCGAAAGTCGACAAGACCGTATACAAGACAAAATGCAAGTTGAAAATAACAAATTAGGAAAAAACGAGGGGCGCTATTAACCCTGTGTGTTATTTCTTAATTTCCTATTTTCGAGTTGATTTTGGCTTGTATACCGTGTTGTCGCTTCACATTTTGTCGTAACTTCTACTTTTCGACTTTTGCGTTGTGAAGAGGCGAAAAGTAGAAATTATGAATGGTAGCTATAGGCTTCCATAGGTTAGGCATGTTCAACTCCTTACAGCATAACATTTTCGAGACAGATACAATGAATATATAAAGTTTTGTAAATCTGCATATATCTGAATATTGCAATATTCTTGTAATATTTGGTTACGAAAAATGACATATCTTAACCCAAAAATGACACTTTTTGGATAAAGGCTGTAGAAAAATAAAGGAGCTGAGAA